ATTCCAAAGCCAGAAGAGAACATTGTGATCATCTAATCTGACCTCTTGTATCCCACAGGCCCTAGAATTTACCAAAATAATTCCTATAAAAACATCCAATCTTGATTTAAAAACTGTCAATGATGCAGAATTGACCACAACCCTGGGTAAATTGTTCCAAGGGTTAATTGCCCTCACAGCTAAAAATGTACACTTTATTTTCAGTCCGAACTCATCTAGTTTCAACTTCTAGCCATTGAATCATGTTATACTTTTCTCTGCAAGACTGAAGAGCCTATTATTAAATATTTGTTCCTCGGGTAGATGCTTTATAGACTGAAAATAAGTAACCCATTAATCTTTTCTTGAGCTCATTTAATCTATCATTAAAAGGCATGTTTTCTAATCCTTTAATCATTCTCATGACTCTTCTTTGAGCCCTCTACAATTTATCAACTTCTTCTTGAATTGTGGACACTGAACCAGACACAGTATTCCAGCAGTAGTTACACCAGTGCCAAATACAGAGATAAAATAACTTCTCTGCTCCTACTGGAAATTCCCATTTATGCATCCAAAGATCACATTAGCCCTTTTGGCCACAGTGTCACACTGGGAGCTCACATTCAGCTGATTAACCATCATGACCCACAAATCTTTTTCAGAGTTATTGCTTCCCCGGATAGTCCCCCATCCTATAAATATGGCCTGCACTCTTTGTTCCTTGAAGCATATATTTACATTTAGCTGCATTAAAATGCATATTGCTTGCTTGCACCCACTTTACTGAGCAACCCAGATCTCTCTGTATCAGTGACTTGTCCTCTTCATTATTTGCAACTCCCCTATTTTTATGTCATCTGCAGACTTCATCAGTGGTAATTTTAAGTTTTCTTCCAGGTCACTGGTAAAGATATAAAATAGTGTAGGGCCAAGAACTGATCCTTCCATGACCCCAGTAGAAACACACCTGCTCTATGAGGATTCCCCATTTATAATTGTATTTTGAGACCTTTCAGCCAGTTTTTAATCCATTTAATGTATGTCATGTTAATTTTACATTGTTCTGTTTTTTTAATTAAAATGTTGTGCAACATCTTAAGAAGTCTATTATATTAACACTATTACCTTTATCAACCAAACTTGTAATCTCATAAAAAAATATCAATTTTGAAAAGATCTATTTTCTATAAACCCATATTGATTGGCATTAATTATATTACCCTCCATTAACGCTTTTTTAATCAAGTCCTGTATTAACCACACCATTATTTTGCCTGAAATTGACATCAGACTGACAGGCCTGTGATCACCCAGGTGATCCCATTTACCCATTTTAAATATTGCCACAACATTAGCTTTCTTTCAGTCTTCTGAAACTTCACCAGTGTTCACAGACTTATTGAAAATCAACATTAATGATCCAGCAAGCTCTTCACCCAGCTCTTTTAAACTTCTTGGATTAAAGTTATCTGGGCCTGCTGATTTAAAAATGTCTAATTTTAGTAGCTGCTGTTTAACATCCTCCTGAGATACTAGTGCAGTGGGAAGAGTGTCATCTTATGGTATGACATTATCTGGTTTTTTTCCTCCCAAATACAAAACAGAAATATTTATAGAACGTGTCTGCCTTTTCTGCATTATTATCAATCATTCTACCATTTCCATCTAGTAATGTATCAATACCATAGTTAGGGTTCTTTTGTTCCTAATATACTTTAAAAACTCCTTATTGTCCTTGACTCTGCTGCCCATAGATTTTTCAATGTGTCCCTTTGCTTCCCTTATCAATTTTCTACTATTTCTAGTTTCTTATTTATATTAATTAGTATCGACCCCTTTCTTCCATTTGTTATGTTTTTGGGGTTTTTTTATAGCTGCCTTCACTTCCCCTCTAAACCATGTCGTCTTTTTAACCAGTACAGCATTTTTCCTTGATTGAGGGTTTTTGGGCATCTAGTAAAGTGAGTGTTCTTGAACAATTCCAAATCATCATTCATATTTTTCTGATTAAATTATTCCTGTCAGCTGATATGGCTGATAATTTTTTTCAGCTTTGTGTAACTGCCCTTTTTGATGCACCAAGTATATATATTACTGGTTTGGACTTCATTCTGTTTGCACATTATAAATGTGATCAAGTCATGATCGCTTGTACTTAAGCTACCATTAAGCAACCATGTGTTGACAATGTCCATCCTGTGCCCAGTGCCTGAGGGGAGGAGGTGGCTGACCTCAGCAGTCAGGAGTGTGGCTGCTGGTGTGGGCTGCAGGTACAATTTTTGATTTTCTATGTAGTGTGCTGCCCTTCTGGCTTCACTCCTGTCTTGGGGATTGCAGAAGGGGAAACCGCTTGCCCCTGGAGTCAGTTTTCACAATTCTATCTGGTTCTTTCCATGCCTGGGGAAGGGGTGCCAAGCCAACTCCACCCAGAGTGTGCTGATGGGGGAAGGTGCAATCTGCCTGTAGAGCCGGCTGAGCTCCCCAATGAGACACTTAATATGGGAATGAAGCAGGAGGCAAAGGCGCTTCCTTTTGCCGCTGGCTTTTCTTGGCCTCGCTCTCTCTCTGAAGTCTGCAGGGGCACCAGCTGCTGCAAACACTGCAGGAGGGGAAACAGAGCTGAGGGGGAAATCTTCCCAAAAGGCAAATGCAGCTCTGGGACACAGTTGAGAATATTAAACCAAACTGTTAGTCAGAAATCTGAAATCAAGTCTGGAATTTCCCTCAGTAAAGCCCTGCAGCTGAGGCACCTGACTGAGCAGCTGGCCACTGGGAAGGCAAAAAAATGGAGGGAACTTCAGGGACAAGGGCATTCCCCTACTGCCAATGACTGGCAGGTCTGGTTCAGGCTAAAGAACCCACTGTCACCAACTTGCAGACCAAAACACAATTAAGAGAAGGTCAAATCTGAGACATTATTTCAAATATAGGTTAAAATTATTTTTTTGACAACATATGACTCAGCCTGCAACTCCCAGTTGTGCAGACAGTCTGTGCCCCACAGAGCTCACAATCAAGGTTATGACAAGATGTAACTGGTGGATGAGACAGACAAATGGGGAATTCGGAGAAGGGGAGGACAAGGACACAGGAAAGTTAACACGTTATCATACATTAAGCAGAGGTATCCACTCCCCACCTGACTAGGCAGGCAGTGAGCAGAGATCTCTGCTCTGCTTAATGTGTAACTAGTCAGCCTTACTGATACCTCACCCTTAGACACCACCGCCCCTGACGCTCTTGTCTCATCCACATGTTATTTCTGGTAATAATCTAGACTGTGAGCTCTTTAGACCAGGGGTCATTTTTTATACCATGACTGTGCAACACCTAGCACTATGTGTCCCTGATTCTTGATGGTTGCCTGCAATACAAATTAATAATGTCTCCAACTTTTCATTAAAACTAGGGGATTTAATCCCTTTTATTTCACTGGGGCCAGGTCTACACTAAAAAGATAAGTCCATCAAGCTATGTCGCTCAGGGGTGTGAAAAATCCACCCCCCTAAGCAACATAGTGAAGCCGACCTAAGCCCCGGTGTAGACAGCACTAGGTCAACAGAAAAATTCTTCTGTCAACCTAGCTACCACCTCTCAGGGAGGTGGATTAACTATAGTGACAGAAGAATCCCTGTCATCGCTGTATTGAGTGGCTACACTGAAGGGCTACTGCAACTGTGCCGCCGTAGCGGTTTAAGTATAGACATTGTTTTAGAATAGAAACAGAAAGGCTCACATTTAGAATAAAAGACATTGCAGGGGATTGGAGGGGAACCACTGTTAGAGAGGTTAAAATCGAATCTGAAGACTTTCACCTCTCCGTCACCAGTTACAATCCGGCACAGGTTAGTAATGACTAAAAGCTGTTTCTATTGGATGGCCCCTGTTTGAAATGAGTTGTGGTCTCAGTCAGTTCCTACTAGGACTGGTGTCCGCGACACAAAAAACGCTACCACAACTGGCCTTATTTGGCACATTCAGTAGAGAGGCCAAGGATTGGATAACTCATGGCAGCACCCCTACATGTGATCCCTCCAGGACAAAGATGAGAAACACTGACAGTAATGTGAGGAAGATGACCTATCACTGCCCGTGCTATACCTGATGTGGGATTAGAAGGACCTCCATTCCTAATGTATGTCAGTCCAGAACCTCTTACCAGCACATATGCATGGGAATAAATTAAAAACCACTTAGAGAAACAAAGGAGGATTCAGACAAGAGTCCAGCTGCCCCCTGCCTCAAATAGAGCAAGAATAATGTACAGGAGTACTGCAACCATCATGGCAGATCAGTCTGTCACCTTCCCCTACCACTGGAGCTGCAGCATTACACTGAAGCAGGGCCAGGTTGGATCTGTGGGGGCCCAGGTGATGTGATATCCCCCAAAAACATGTACAGAAGAGGCAGAGCTTGATCTAAGCATGTCAGAGAGAAACCTTACAGAGTATCTCCTAAAGAGAGACCACAGCCTGGCTCAATGGGAACCCGCCCCCCCCCCCCTTCCCCAAAGCATTCTCCATTCCTGCATCCTATCACTGAAGACATAAGAAAATGGGTATCTTGCAGCTGGCAACAAAAATGCACCAAATGGGTGCAAAAAGCATCCCCGCCCCCTTTTGACACCTTTCTCCTTCCACTTAAGCTGCCTCCCAACCTTACCCACACAGACAGGCCAAGATGGATCACAGTCACATGAAAAGTTCAGCTCATTCTTTATGCCAGAAGACAATATGCCTAGGGAACAGGCCAGAATGGCTTCCTCGGCCACACTGCCCAGCTGCACAGAGGGTCCACAGTCCAAACCTATGCTCAAACAATATATCAGGTGTTTTTCTGAGTCACCTTAAGTCTCCTTATGCCACTACAAAGACATCATAATGGCCACCCTAACGAGATTCATGGGAACAACATACTGTACAGCCAGCGTGGGGTAGGCACAGCTTTGTAGAGCCAGAACAAGAAGGTGCCTGCAAATCCCAAGATTCCCCGGGACAGCATGAAAAGAAAGAAGTTACCAGTAAGCTCCGTCCTGCAGCTCCTCCGTGGCACAGGAACGCCAGCAACCCCGGGATTGGACGTGACCTGCTCAATACGGGAATAACACAGGCCACAGGAGAGGGAGTGACCTGTTCGGCGCAGCCCAGTTGGTCCCAGGGGCACAGGAATGCCAGGACTCAGGAGAGGGGGCGACCGGGTGAGCACAGCCAGCCCTTAATATTTACTTCTTGGAGCTGCTACTGAAGTTGCAGTGATGTAATGTGAGCAGCAGCCTCGGAGTCACATGCTTGAGCTTTCCCCAACTCCACCCCCATAGCGTTCCTCCCCCCTCTATCTCCCTGACCTCCACATCCTGGCAGCATGGCCCGCTTGACAACACAAACAGAGAGAACCAGCTCCTCCCACCTGGCCCGCCGCCAGAAAGGCTGGGACCTAATCGAACTCAGCCAGGGAACAGCAGCAACAAAACCACTGCAGCTACTGAGCCTGAGCTCTGGTCACCATATTTAGTTCCCCTGCAAACATTTGGCTCACCATCTCTGGAGGTCAGGAGCTCAGCACTGAGCCCACTGCTCTCCCCATTGGCCTCTTCCTCTGAGCTATGGGGACAGTTAGGAAGCAGAGGGCATGCACTGTGTTTCACCTGGAAAATATTACAGATGTGTTTATTTTTACATTTGGGGAGTATTTGATCTCCATTAAAGTAAAAGACCAATAACATCAGACACAGTGTGGACTGGCACAGGGAAAGCTTCCATTCCCACCCAACTCTCTTGATGGACCCCATTCCTGATCATCAGCACCTTCTGCTATTCCAGATGTGCTCCCCACACATCTCTCCTGAACACCTTCAATCCTGGCCAGCAGCCCCCCTGCTATTCCAGTCCAGGGCTAGGACTCCCTGCACATAGCTCTACCAATTCCCTTGAGTGCTACCCTGCAGCTCTCCCCGTTAGCTATTCCAGGCCTAGCCTGCCGCTCCCTCTCAATACACCAAGAAACGGGAACACAAAGAAATGTGATTTACTCACTTCTTGCTTCCCCTCCATTCTTTGTCTCCAAGATTATCCTTTTCCTGACCTACTGTCAGTCTATTGTGTCTCTCCCTTTCATTATGTTCTGTCCCGTTCCTCTGCTGGGCTTTCCTCAGCTCTCTTCCCCTTCCTCACCTGGGTCCATCATGTTCTCCCCATCCCTGAAATAAATGAGGAGAAAAGTTGATGAGCCAACCTTGTAGCAGGTAATGCAGGAAGCAGAAGGGGCCCCCTATCTATTTACATTCAAATGGATATTAAAAAAAAAAAATTCAGCTGAAAATGGATCTCAGAGTTGGGATCAATTGGTCCTTAGTCTAAAAAGGACTCTGAAGACAGCAGAGGAGAAGGAAGGAGGAAATGGGACTGTAAGTTTAGAAACAGTCTGTAGGAAGATCTGATTAGTTAGAATAAAAGTGCTGGGCACCTCTAGCCACTGCCACCACCTGAACCCCATAGAAACAACAGCTCCTTTCTGATGGCCTCAACAAAATCACCCTCCTTCTACTCTCCAGGCAAGCAGAGGATATCTCCAAGGCCTTGTCAATACAATACAAGAAAGTTGCACAGGATTAAATGAGTTTTTAAACCATTTTAGTTAAACTGGTACCACCCCTTGTGTGGAAACTTATCTCAGTCTAAGAGTGGCTTATTTCAGTTTAGTTTAACCAATTACTAATTGCCTTAAATTAAAATGAAATAAGCCAGGTTTAAACCAAAATAACAGCCTTTTGCAACAGTTTGATGAAATTGGTTTAACAAAAATCACTCCTTAAGCTAGACTGATACAACTTGCTCAGACAGACAAGTTTCAGAGTCATGTTAACCAGAAATGGAAAGACCTCCTTAGGACACACCCAGTCCATTCTCTGCACCTTCCAAGACTAGGGTGGGATTGCTCACTGGTATATTATGGACAGGGCCGGCTCCAGGCACCAGCTCAACAAGCAGGTGCTTGGGGCAGCCAAGGGAGAGGGGCGGCACCTGCGGCAATTCGGGGGCGGCAGGTCCCTCACTCCCTCTAGAAGCAAAGGACCTGCTGCTGAACTGCCGCCGCCGATTGCAGCTTTTTTTTCCCCCAATTGCCGCCGCCGATCGCGATTTTTTTTTTTTTTGCTTGGGGCGGCAGAAATGCTGGAGCCGGCCCTGATTATGGAGAGGCTGCAGCCTCTCCATAGTTCAGGCTGCAATTAGTCCTGTTTTAGACAATCTATAATTTTAACATGGAAAATTGGTTTGGCCAGAAAATTGTTAGCTTCACCCAGAAGCCAAAGCAAATGCAAACAAACTGCATTTGAGTTACAGGTCAGTAAAAAAAAAACGACACTCCAGATTTTAAATGTAGACTTTTGTCTAATGTTTCCTTGAATCCCAATACTGATCAATAAAAATCACATCACATCACAATATAAATACTATTTTTCCACCAGTAATCTCAAAATATAAATGCAACCCAAAACATATCTGACAAAGAAACATAAAAGTATATGTACACAGCAACAACACAGAAGCCTTGTCTGCAAAGAATTTTTAAGCAACTCTCCTACCATTGGCCTAGCACTAGTGAAATGAACAATACTAATATACAGATAATATCTACAGTACAATATTCCATATTAAAAACCTGCAGTAAAAATATTAACATTGATTGACTAAACACTCTTCTTCTTATGTGGTACCTCCATTACTGGAGGTTTTCAACCATGGTAACCCATTCTGTATAGTTCTCTGCTAATCTCTTTGTGGATGAATACTCCCTTTGATCCACCCAGGATACCACATCATCCATCCACAATCTTCTTTTTCTGCCTTGTGTTCTTTTGCCATCAACTTTCCTTTCCAGTGCCTGTAAACATATATCACCCACTGAGCTTCTTAAAATGTGCTGTGCAAATCAAATCTATCTTTTCATAAGATCTCTAACTAGCAGTTGCTGAGTTCCAATACTTTTTCATTGGTTATAGGATTTAAACATGGTATTTGTCAGAATTTTTTTATAACACCATAGCTGGAAGAACTGTAGCTTCTTTATTATCCATGTTTGAAGTTAGGTCTCAGCGCATGTTTAGTGAGAAGTCAGTTTAATTGAAGGGGCTGAGGTGCTGACTCTTGTATAACTTATCTCCAAAATTTTTTCTTAGTAATTGAAACAGTTATTAACAACATTTGTAAACAAGTGATTACAAATCCCTTCATCTTTCAGTTACTCAGCTTTCACTCTTTTGGCTATTGCAATGTCATAATTTTACAAGTTCTCTAGCCAGTAAAGTATTCCAAGCTACATGAGAACAGACATTTTAATGTCAAAAGCAAGCAACTCTTTTTTTTTTTAATCCAGTCCTGCTTTATAAGTAATAAAAAAGCACACAATCCCAGGTTTTTTTTATTTGTTTGTTTGTTTGTTTGTTTTTTGGTGAGTCACCTTTAGTAAGGTATAGAATTTTCTAGGTTTCTAGGAAATCTGTACAAGCTCAGCAAAAAAAAAAAAGTTTACTGCATATGCTCAGTATAGTAAATCTGAATCAGTTTTCTGACACTCCCAAAGACACTGGTTGCTCCACTGTGAGGGTTGTGCCATGACAATTTTTAACTTTTTAAATAACTGTTAAAAAGTCACAAAAACAATGTGGAGTCTGGTGGCACCTTAAAGACTAACAGATTTATTTGGGCATAAGCTTTCGTGGGTAAAAAACCCACTTCTTCAGATGCATGGAGTGAAAATTACAGATACAGGCATAAATATATATTGGCACATGAAGAGAAGAGAGTTACCTTACAAGTGGAGAACCAATGTTGAAGGCCAATTTAGTCAGGGTGGATGTAGTCCACTCCCAATAATTGATGAGGCAGTGTCAATACCAAGAGAGGGAAAATTGCTTTTGTAGTGAGCCAGCCACTCCCAGTCCCCATTCAAGCCCAAATTGATGGTAAATAAATCTGTTAGTCTTTAAGGTGCCACCGGACTCCTCATTTTTGTGGATACAGACTAACACAGCTACCCCTCTTATACTTGTTAAAAAAGTCAATTTTTTTAAATAATGGGACATATATATTCTCACATGCACACTTACTCTCTTGTTCTCAAAAACAACTGAATCATTTTTTGCTCAAATTTTCAAACAGAGGCCATCCCTGGGAATTTTCAGCCAAATTGATGAATGCTTCAACAAGTTATGCACAAAGAATGGAATAGGAGATTTTAGGCAACCTTCACCATAGACATCACTACAAATTCCATATTACTGAAGTCAGTCCAATACTCATGTTAAATTCCTGCTTCCACTCTTGGAGTTAGGGGCATGCTGGATGCTAGCTTTCTAGGCTCAACAGACTGTAGTTTATTTGTCTGGAGTTCTGCCAGTACTAGCTGCGTTTTGTCCTCTGGGCTAGGGCAGCCATCAGAGCTGTCAGGTTGGTCTAGGATCCAATGCACAGCACATGTATGCTGGAAGCCTGGCACACTTTTTAGACCTATTCTCTAGCTCACTGCGCTTCTAGGGAGGTGGGGGCATCCTAAGCATGAGCAAGACCTTGGCACTGGCATGTGCACCAAGCCAGTTAAACACCCGCCAACCCCATCCATGCCAGTCCCAATGGACACTAGCTCCGGGGTGTATGCACACAGCCTAAGGACCAGACAGCAGCCAAGGGAAGGGCACTGGGGGCCTGGAAATGGGTGACAGCCCCTGCCCTGAGCAGCTGACAAAAACACCCTCCCCCACCCCATGGCGCTTCTCTAACTCACTTCCGGTGTGCTGTTCCTTTCTCCCTTTACTGTCCCATTTCTATGGTGCTTCCGCCTCTACCAAGATGGCGGATCCCTCTTTCCTGTGTGTGGCGGAATGTGTACCGGGGCGGCTCCTGCGGCCCGCATCGCCGGGGTTCCGGGCGGCGGGCCGGACCGGGCCAGGCCTAGCAGCCGCGTCAGTGATAGGCTGGGTGGGGAGAGTGATGGCGGCTCCTCTCGCCCTGCTGCTGGGCATCAGCCTCGCGCTGGCACCGCCACTGGCTCAAGCCCGGAGCCTGCGCTTCGTTACCCTGGTGAGGGGCGGCAGCCGGGGAGCTGGGGCCTCGGTTCACCGGCGGGGCTCGGCCCAGACAGGGAGCGCAGAGCGAGGCCGCGCCCCGGGCGAGGCGGGGGAACGGGGGAGACAGGTCGGGGCGGGGGGCGCCGCTGGGCAGAGGTGAGGAGGCCGGGCGCGCGCGCGCGGTGATGGGGCGGGGGGTAGCGGG